GAATTACTAGTTGCTCCAATGTCCATTACTTCATAGTTTTTTTAATGGAACTTATTCCAATTGAATTCTTGCTGGAAGACCAAAGCCGTGAGATACCATGTGAAGAAGCAATCAACTTTGGCATTAGAATAGAATATTGAAATTGGTTTTATGCGGAAGAATACTTTGGAGGTAATTGGTTGGATGTATGTAGGTGAGGTAGTGTGTAGGGTTACGTGTGGGAAGCTTGAAAAGCCACGGCAGAGGACTTTCAGAAGTTTTCCAAGTGATCCAAACAAAGCCTCTAATAAGTAATGAATCAGAAGGGAAGATGCCTAGCAGAATCAAAGGTGACATTGACTTTCAAGATGTTCACTTTTCCTACCCATCACGCCCAGACAAACCAATCCAAACTAAAAGAGGAACTTCTAAATGCAGTTAACTACAGCGGTGGAAGATAGCAAACCTGATAAAAAGCTCCACAGCACCCTCTGCAATGGCAGACCCAGCCCAACTACACCACCAGTTAAAGCAACGTCCACAACACGTCACCACCGCAATGCCCTCCCACGCTATCCACGAAGCACCACCCCTGCTGCCACAACCACAATCCAATATAGAATGACTTGCAAGGAATTGCAAGAATTTGGAAGCACGAAAACAAATACAAATCAATTAAGGAGGAAGCCCCAAACCTAAAATTCAAATGAACAGAACACTAACCTTACGGCAATCCTAGCGGGAACACCCTCCCCGGAGAATCCCTCAACAACACCTCCAAGCCTATCGAATGAAGATGACACCTCAGTCACCAACCCTCCTACTCCACGCCAGTCGCCTCAGTCACCAACCGTCCTCAAACCGTCAACGACAACCACTGTCACGCCACCTCACTAACACGACCGAATGAAGGATGAGCTCGACGGACAACCGTGACGACAGAGACAATGCGCCTGAGGAGATGATTCGCAGGGAGAGGGAAATAGGCTTTCGTCGACGAGCTCGAAATGGGAGAGGGAAATCAGAAGTTTTGGTTTTAATTCACCCTCAAACATACCGACGGCCTAGCACCCTCGGTTTTTAAAATCACCCGCCTGTATTTTGCGCTATTTTTGTATTCAATACCGAGGGATCATAGACCTTCGGTAATACTATAACTGACCGTCGGTAAATTACTTTTACCGAAGGCCGTGAGGCCGTCCGTAATTACCCTTCGGTAATCCAGCAATTTCTTGTAGTGGTTCCCCTTGAACAGAGGCCTATAAGTTCGCTGCAAATGCAACTGAAGCATATTACCCATGGTAGAATCTCGATTTTGCACTAATGCAACTTGTACAAGATAGATGTAGATGAATTATATGTTCAAAGCGTCTCATGCTGAGTGTCTATAAAAGATAATGCAATTTTAGGGAACAATAAATGTAGACATGCAAGTATGAGATTAATCTAAAAACTGCAACACCATGACCTTGTGAGCGATAAACGTCTATGGACTTATGGTAGTAGACGACTTTTCTAGATGGACATAGGTTTTATTATTAGTCAATAAGGATCAAGCATTTGAGCCTTTTTATAAACTTTGTAAGAAAATAAAGAATGAAAAAGGTTGTAAGATTACTTCATTCAGAAGGGATCATTGAAGAGAATTTGAAAATGAACTATTTCAAAAAATTTGTGAAAACTCTGGCATCAATTACAACTTTTCAACTTCAAGGACACAGCAATAAAGCGGAGTCGTTGAGAGAAAGAACATATCTCTACAAGAAATGGCCAAATCTATATTAAATAATTTTAACTCTCCTAAACACTTATGGGCTGAAGCAATCAATACAACTTGCTACATTTAGAATAGAGTTTATATAAGGCCTATCTCATGCAAAACACCATATGAATTATGGAAGAATAGAAAACCCAATATATCATATTTCCATCCTTTTTGCTGTCAATGTTCCACACTGAATATCAAAGATAATTTAGGAAAGTTTAATTCCAAAATTGGTGAAGGGATTATGCGTGGATATTCTGAAACTTCTAAAACATTTAGAGTTTATAACTCTAGAACGTCTAAGGTGGAGGAAGTTATTCATGTAAAATTCAATGACTTTAAGCCTGACTATAAAGCTTCAAAGTTAGATGATGAATTTTCAAAATTGCAGATAGGCAAAACAACATCCAAAAATGTTAACGCATCGTCTACACCTAAAATGTCTATGAATCCAAATGATTCAAATTAATCCAAAGCGTCTGAACCTGAAGATGAGGTAACTGAAGAGAAAAGGGACCTAGTAGAGCAGAAGAACCATCCAAAGGATAAAGTTATTAGTGACATCAAAGAGAATCTCAAGACCAAGTACTTCTACAGACAAGGTTAAACTACTCTCATCTCCCAAGTGGGATTGTTTAATGTGAACGAAGCTTTAGAAGATGACTTTTTGGTAAAAGTCATGCAAGAGGAGTTAGATCAATTTCAAAAAAATGATGTGCGGACGCTTGTAAAGCTGCCTCAAGGCAAGAACATCCATCATTGGAGCAAAATGGATGTTTCGCAACAAGCTATACAAAGATGGAAAGGTAATATGAAATAAGGCAAGACTTGTAGCAAAAGGTTACTCTAAGCAAAAAGGTATTATAGACACACAAGGGGACAGAGAATTAATGACAGTTTAAAATTGACCAAACAATTATTTATCAGTAAAATAAATAATTCAAAGTAGCCCCTAAGCAACTCGAAACTAGTCACAAAAATCACGCCAACATGCACCTCAATTCCTTAGTCCAATGCATGTAACTTAATCAGAGAGTAAGGGATCATAATACATTGAATGTCATCACAAGACATAGGCACAAACAGAGAAACAATTTCCATTATCAAAACCAACAAAGGAATTCAAAAATCAGAGGTTATCTAGAAAGTCCATCTTTCATCAATAATCGCACATTCAAGTCGTTAACAATAGTACACACAAGTTAACTCCCCATACTTGGTTGATTCTAACTCCTCCCACAATCAAAACCCTAGCGTTAAAAGATCAATAGTCTCTTATTGTTGATGCGTTGAACTCCCATCCTTCGCGCTCTCTCTTTCCTCTTCGTCTTCCTCAATTCCCCACTAATTAGATTTCCCCATGATTTTCCCAAAAATCTAAAAATCCCCAAAGAACTCTTTCTCGCTCCCAAAGTCATTGCCTCTCTTCTTCCCAAAACCCTAAAACCCCAATGCCATGTCAACCAAATAAAAACACAGCCCTTTAATATTTACATGGTTCCAACCTGGTACCCTACACATCAATCACAACTTACAACCCCTTACCACTACGCCACTTCATTACTATTGATTATATTATCAAATTATAGGAATTTAGATCCTACTTTACTTCACATGTCATAAATAAACATTTATAAAATAATACACATATTATTTTTTTCATAAGATACTCGGATAAAGTATAACTTATTTTATTAATAACCAATATTTCAATAATTAAATTATACTTAGAGTTGTCTAACTTTCCGGATCTTACACCATTAGTAAACAAAAATTAAAAAAACATAATTAAGACAATTTTTCAAAAGTTAAAAGGTAATTCAATTTTTTTAAAAATAAGACTAACATGAAACATTTTTACTAAAATGGGACCAAACGAGTAATTTAAAAAAAAAAGCTTCCAATAATCTTATGCTCTAGTTTGATAAATTCTTTTAATAAAACACTTTTAATTTTTTTCATCAATCTAAATGACTTCATTTAATCTTGTATTACGTAAAAACTAAGTGTTGTAAAAATGGGTTGTAACCCGCGAGCCAATCCGGCCCACCACAGCTTTGAGTTGGGTTTGAAAAAATTTACGCAAGTTAGTTTTGAACCTGGTTCACTTAAAACTCTGCTCATCCGAGTTCAACTCGTGGTGAGTCGGGTTGACTCACCAACCTACCTAATTTAATTTCATTATTCATTATTTTGTGTTTTAATAACAATTTTTTTATTATATTGTAGATGGAATAAAAAAAGATGTTTCAAGAGAGAAAAATATCATAGATTTATCTATTCAATACTCTAATATTATATATGGACAAGTGATACAAAAATTATCAATATTAAAAACTTATTTGTTTGCCTTTTGTGTTTGTTTTTGGATTACGCTTAACTTGTATGATACTACATCATTTTGGAGTGAAATTTATTTAGATTTGAATACTACATCAATATTAAAATTATCAATTATTTTGAATTGTCTTTAAAGTTTAACATCATTTTGGAGTGAAATTTATTTAGATTTGAATTAAAAAATTATAATTTTTTTATTTTAAAAAATATTATAATTGAGTCAGTGAGCCAACCCGTTTAACCTACCAACTCGTGGTGGGTCGAGTCGAATTCAAATTTTTTCAGCTCGCTAATAAGTGAGCTGGGTTGGGTTGGCTCACTAAGTGAGCAACCCCTGGTGGACCGGGTCGGGTTAAGCCGAATTACCCATTTTGACAGCTATAGTAAAAACCTTCTTTTAATTTAATTAGCATCCTCTTGATCTTTTAATCACTTTCTCTATAAATATTATCTTAGTCAAGAATATTTATTTATCAAACAGTGTACAATTTAGCAAGAAGTTACTAAATAATATTCGAGTTAGAAATAATTAATTATTAAAAACTTAGTTTTTAAATGACTTAGATTCAAATAATATTTGTTTATATCATTTACTATGTGTATATAGTGAAAATTAAATTGGATTGATAAGAATTCGGCGTAAGCTAAAATCAACATAAAAATATAAAGGTTTAATGTCTCCTTAAGTCCCTATTTTTGTTCCGAATTTCAAATAGATCCCTTTCTTTTTCGGCGTCTCAATTGGGTCCTTATTTTCGTAAAATTGAAGTAATTAGAGGCCTTCCGTTAAATTGGACAAACGCCGTTTAAGTTTGGAGTATGTGGCATAGTCAATTTATTATTTTAAATTATGTGGCAGTTTATACATGATTAACGTGTATTTTATAATTTCTAAATTAAAAAATTAAGGGTAAATTGGGAAAAGGAAATTAAAGGCAGTGACTCTTTCTGCAATTGAGGAATGAAATTAGGGTTCTTGAGAGAAAGTTGAAGGAGGCGGAGCCGACGGAGGAGTTGAAGTTCGCCTTGGAGGATCTTCCAGCAAGCTTGTTCTCTAGGTCAGCGAGTGTTCTGAGATGTTGTTGCGGAAGAGCAGGATGAAGGAGGCGTGCTTGGAGGCGAGGAGGTTGAGGTAGAAGGTCTTGAGGAGTGTGTGGTAGGGGTCGGTGGTGCCCTGGAAGATGCAGACGTGGTAGCCGCTGGCTAAGGAGGTGGAAGGCATGAAACAATAATGTTACGCGTGTCGGGCATTGCAGCAAACACAACCCAACCACAGGAACGAATTGCCTCCCCTCTCAAGAGTAACGAAGCTCATCTCTAATCTCTCTTCCCGCCGCCGCAAGCTCATATGATCTCCTCTGTCGAGTTCACGACGGCGAGGCAAAGGCAAGGCGTCTCACGCTGACGACGTTGACAATCCTATCCTATCCTTCCCCTTTGTTAGGTTTTCAGGTTTTCTTCCTTTAAGGTATGAGTTTTTTTCTTCTCTCAAGGGTTTTCAGATGATGAAATATTTATGGATCTGGTTCTGTGTTGTGCTAAAATTTTGTTATGGACGCCGCATCTCGTCCTCATCGCATTCATGCTCTGTTTTTCTGATAAAATGTTTTTCTTTCGAAAGAAGTAAAAAGTTGGGGTTTTGAATTTTTGTTGTGGTACTTGTAAATGTAATGGTATTGTTTGCTGAATGTCTTTGGTTGTTCTCTATGAGCATTTGGATGCTGATACGTGTTTTAATTATTTATTATCAATTAGTTTTATTTAGTGTTCATGATAATGTTAGTTTGTTACTGGTGTTATAAATCGCAGACTATGTGATTGTGGTAGGTTTTAATTTTTGAGAAGTTGGTTGTTCTTCGTTTCAGATTCTGGAAAAGTTTTTGGAGATGGAAGGTTTTCATGCCTAGACAGTAGACAGTGAGTATTTAAAATATATATTTGTTGATCATCAAATGTTGAAGAGAATAAAGAACTTTTATACTCCTTTTTTATTAGTTGAATGATTCTAAAAGCTACTTTTTTTTCTGCCATGGATGCGTGATTTGGTTACCGGAGAAGATGAAGGATAGCATTCCAGGAATAATTTGGTTACCGGAGAAGATGAAGGATAGTATTCCAACCAGGAATAATGTTTGGTGCTGACAGTGTTTTTTGACCTTTCCATGTATTCTATGAAATAAGATGACCATTTTGTCCTGATCATTTAAATTTTATTTTCCCTCTTTCCACTCTATTTTTTAATTCAAAAATTAAAAAATTACACTTCACATACATTTTTAATGCCACATCATTTAAAAAGACACAGTCAGCATGTCACGTAACGTCCTAATTAGGGACATCTTCTCAATTTAACGGAAAGTCCCTATTTGATTCAATTTTACAAAAATAAGGACCCAATTGAGACGCCGAAAAAGAAAAGGACCTATTTGAGATTCTGGACGAAAATAGGTATCTACATATACATTAAACCAAATATAAAACATAATATTTCTCTTCGTTTAACTTTTTTTCATTATATCTTTATCTTTTTTTTTCAATTATATTTTATTAGAACATGGTCTAACTCTTTAAAGAATAACATTTTTTGTGATATTTGATAGAATATTTTTAAGAATGAGATTATCACCAGAAAAGTGTGGTTGATATTCACCGTATCAAACATTGTTCTTGATAATTAATATAAAAAAAATTAATATATAATCTAACTCTTTCTTCTTCTTTTTACATGTTTTTCGTGTTTTTACACAAACAAATCTGAATGAAAGAAATTATATTTAGAAAGAAAGCTTACATTACGCAAAGAATTTCTCTAATCTAATTTCCTCACTTATTATTTAGATCAAGGCCTTTGTACGCAGAGTTAATGACTCATAAACTTTTACATGTTTAATAATTTTATTTATGGCATATCATTTTTAATGATAGTTTTTATTCAGTTTTGTGATTATTTTATAATTATAAATGTATCATTAAAATAATAATTACTATCAATTTTATATTTAAATATATTTTTTAATAATTTCGATTTTAAATAATTACATAAAAAAATCATTTATCTAGCATAAAATATTTTAATTATCTCCACTCTCTCTCTTATCCCTTTTGTTTCACGCTTAGATCTCTTATATCAAGAAATTTCTATCTTGTACAATGTATTATTCTCTTAAGCGTAACATTTCATACTAACATATTATTCATTTGAAGGTTTGAAATGAATATTGAAATTAATCAAATGCATTATCAAGGTACATGAGTCAAAGACTTGTGTGTATTTATCAACACAAAGACATAGTTCGATTTGCCATTGAATAATTTGCTTCTAAAATTAGATTAAGAACATTGAAATTAAGTGACATCAATTTTTACTCAAATTGAATTACTATAAAAAAAATCATTAAATAATAACTGTAAGAATCTAGAAAATAGAGTATTAGAGTTGGTAGGTGTATTAAAATAATGAGACCGAATATTTTATTATAAAATAATTTTATAATATAAATAGAATTTTCTAAACTCGTCTCATTACTTTAAGAACACTCTATCTCTCTAAAACCTTTTATCTCTGTTCTCTCACTTCTCTCTACAATTTCTTACTCCTCAATCATCTTTTCAATGATCAGGAAGTGTCTAGACGATCCCTTCGTCAAGGGCTACTAATCTGACCGATCAATTGGTTGAATCGAGCAAGTAAGTGGTAAACCCCTTTCTTTGGTGTTTAGGTTCTTGATCCTATGAAGGAGTTCTACTTGCATGGATCAAGAGTTCCTCTTCTTAAATTCTTGACTCAATTTAGGTTCTAAGGTTTCTCTTCTATCACTATTCGATGATTTGTAGGTCTTTTTAGAAGTTCCTAGCTGTGCAAGTCTCGGTCGAGGTATTTTCTAGAACGGTGCGAGTTGCTAGAGGTAAGGGAAGCTAGAATCTTTACTTTTAATTGTGATTATTTGAATGAAATGAGAATATATATGTGTGTATGTATGAAGAGGTTGAGAAAATGAGAATTTGATTATATTTTTGTGGTAATGAGTTAATTGATAATTTGTGTGATGATGAATGGTTTATAACATGTAAAATATGCTTGTATATGCTATTGATGTTGAATTGTATATTGAGGAAGTTAATTGTGTTGATTGAATTGTGGAAAAAGGGTTACCATTGGTTGTAGGTAATTTTGGTCTAAAAATGAGGTCTTAAATGGTGAAATGGTGAAAAGGAATTTGGTGAACTGGCTGGTAGCAGTTGGGGTTGGTTATGAACTTATTTAGGACATGTTCAACATTTTAATTGTGAGAAAGTTGAGTTAGGAGTGTGTGGTGGTGAATGTGTAGATTTCAGTTTGGTTTAGAGCTTGTTTTTAAGGAAGTGGAATAGTGAGAACTTGAGTTGGGAGTTCTGTGTGCAAATGGTCAGTGAGAATATTTTTGGTAAGTCATTTGAGACTTATTAGAGTCCATAAGTTATTTGGAATTGTGCCAAAAATGATATAACTCAATTTGGATCTATAAGTTGAGTTTTTGTAAGTTTATGGGTGAGATCTTGAAGCAACTTGTTTAGGTTGATGTTATAAGGGTTTAGACACACTTAATTAAGTATAATTAGGTACATAAAACAATATAGGAGAGTTAGAAGTTGGGAAAAATATATTCAATTGGTTAAGAGTGGGTTAGGGTAATAATTATACAATTTTTGTGCTGCAAAATTATGCAGACTCGCTGAGCGAGTAGAGTCGCTCAGCGAGAGGTCAAGGGGTCAGGGTCACTGTCTAAGGTTTTTCACTCAACGAGTTGGGTCGCTAAGCGAGTGAGTTCGGGGTCTGAACCATTGTCTCTACTTTCGCACAGCGAGAGGGGTCGTTGATCGAAAGGTTGAAGTCTGGGAGCACTGGACGTTTTATTCGCTCAGCGAACTGTGTCGCTAAGCGAGTGGTTGGATTTTGGGACCACTGTCTTTTATTCGCTCAGCGAGTGGAGTCGCTAAGCGAGAGGACTCTATGGTCGCTCAACGTGCTTGGTCGTTGAGCGACTAGTCTAGGGAGTGTTTTATTCTTTCTATTCTTGTTTTCTTATGGAGTGGAATTACATTTCTATTCATTGTGAATGATGTATAAATATGTATGAGATTATATGATCAAAGAGGTTATGTGATGATGTTCAAGTAATGTGTGAGGTGTGGATTTCAAGTACCATGTGAGAAAGGAATTCCAAGGAGGAATATCCTAAGTTAGTTATGTGGTGTTATGTATTGATGTAGGGGCTCCTAGATTGAGGAATGATCCTGACACTCTCAATAACTCCATTTCATGTAGAGGTGGGTTATTATGTCGTGGAGAGTAGCAAGAGGTCCTAGTCTATGACCACTGGTTAGGGCCAAAGATGTTTGACGGATTAACCTTGATTTATGGTATTATTGGTGGTGGTTGAGGATGTGATTATTAGTATTATGGTATTAATTGGTATAAATACTAATTATGATCGATATTTAAAATATATGAAAACAAATTATAATTAGTTTCTGTACCAAGGAGTGCCGGGCGCCGTACGGAAGGATGCCCGAGTAGGCGGCCGTCCACCCGTTTCGGTGCCCACGTCACCAAAAGGACTAAATGCCCGTCCGCCCAAGTGGATAGAACCTCTGTTTGTAAGAAAAACTTTGAAGAACTCACATGTAATTCTATCACCACAAGATAACCCCGCACTCTCTACACTCACAAAAGGTGTTCGTCAAGAGAAGGCCGAGAGACGAAACGTCTGGAAAGTATGTATGGCCACTGCGTCAAATCTGTACCAGAGTGCCGGTCGCCGTACAGAAGGACGCCCATGTAAATGGGCGTCCGCCCAGTTTAGTGGCCCGAGTCATCCAAAGGGCCAACGACCGTCCGCCTTCCCCGACGTTGGAGGCTTGGAAGAGTATCTATTAAATAAATGTGAAGGATCGAATAGGGTAAGGCGGACGCCCATATCACGTGGGCGGACGCCCGTACCTCGTTAACCGGCCAAATCACTAATCGTTGTGGCTTAGGTAAATTAATCTGGTTTGGAGGTAAGTAGAAATTAGAAGCTATTGGGCCATTTTGGGCCGTGATTAACTTTTCACTAATCCCAAGCCCATAGCAAAAACTATAAATACAGGTCCGCGGTGAGTGGTAGATAGGTTACATTGAATGCATATTTATTGCTATCCCTGAGAAAAGTCATTGCTCTGAAACTGACTTTGGCATTGGAGAATCTTTTGCAGGTCTCCACCCCTCAGGGACAAGAGGAGAGCTAAGCCTTGAGGAGAGGACCCGGCACCGAAGCAAGACCACAGGAGAATTTGGAGACTTGGAGCAACACGACCCTACACATCCGAAATAGTTTCTAAATTAAAGTTTAAATTAGTATATGACATTAACTATGTTTTAATTATCAAAAAATTATTGTTTAAATGAATCTCTAATTTTCAATAATTTTTAAACATTAATTCTTTTAAAAACTATTTTTAGATATCAATTTAGACTTTTAATTCACACAAAAAAAATATAATTTTTTATTTTTGTTGTAGACTATTTTAGATACAATAATTTTTAATTTATAAATTAATATCTAAACTAGTGTCTATAATAATTAATTTTTAATCTAAAACATGTATTGTTGTTTAATGATTTCCTAGCTGTGAATTGTCAAAAAAAATTATTAGAATAATTTAAATACAAAATTTGAAAATAATCGTATGATTCATAAACATGATTTTAGACATAAGTTCAACGTAAAGTGAAAAATTATGATTGGGCCTGAATGCCCGACAAGGTTTACATGAAGGAGGCTTTTACTTCTGCTCCCCATAATCTCTTCACACACTCTCAAATTTTCAAAATGACTATTTTGGCCTTTTGAAAAGTGACTACTAGATTATATACTTATGAAATTTGGCAGAATTTTTAGAACATGATTTATAAAATAAAATTTTCGGAACAGAATTTCTAGGATGTGTTTTGAAATGTGTTTCCCAGGATGAGATTTTTGGAATAAACATACCTACATGACATGTATTTTGAAATGAGTTTTTCGAAACTCAAAATATATTTTGAAAAGAACTTTTGGGAGTGAATTTTGTTTTCGCATTTTTTTCTCATTTTCTTTC